AAAGTGATGAGGATGTGGAAAAGAGGGAGCACTCATACATTGTTGGTGAGAATATAAATTGGCACAGCCACTTTAAAAAACAATATGGAGGTTCCTCAAAAACTTAAACCTAGAACTACCATATGTTTCAGAAGTCCCAGAGTGGATATATATCCAAAGGAAATAAAATCAATATCTCAATGACACTCTGGTCCTAACACCCATTGCTGCATTATTCACAATAGCAAAGTTATGGAAATAACCTAAATGTCCGTCAACGGATGCATGGCTGAAGAAATATATATACACAACTACATACAATAAGATATCATTCAACCTTAAAAAAGAAGGAAATTCTGCCATTTACAACATGGATGAAACTAAAGTACATTATGCTAAGTGAAATGAGCCTGGCACAGAAAGACAAATACTGTATGACCTCATATATATGTGGAATCTAAAATAGTCAAACCCACAGAAGCAGAGTGAGAATGTTAGTTGCCAGGGTTAAGGGTGGGAGGGAAAAATGGGAAGATGTCAGTCAAAGGCTACAAAGTTTCAATTGTATAAAATGAATAAATTCTAGAGGTCTAATGTACAGCATAGTGACTATAGTTAGCAATGCTGTGTTGTATACTTGAAATTTACTAAGAGTATATCTTAAGTAGTTTCACACAAAAAGGTAAGTATGTTAAAAAAATGGATATGTAAATTACCTTGACTATAGTAGTCAGTTCACTAGGTTTATGTAGTATATGTATGTGGAAACATCACATTGTACACCTTAAATATATATATAATTTGTATTAAATATGTAATACATATATATATAATTTGTATTAAAAAATTTAAAATATCAAAACAAAGTGAAAAGAGACAGGAAGCCAATAGCACTCTTATTCTCAGAGGCAAAACTGAAGTTACAGAGTCATTAATTGGAAAAGGGGAGAAAGCTTTGCACTGAATAAATATTGAAGGGTTGATTCTCCTATTTGCACCTTCTCTCTCTCAATACATTTACACATTTATTACATTATTTCTTGACATTTTGATTTCTAAACTTGAATTGCATTTGCTGATTTTATGCCTTAAAGTTCTATTCATCTAGGAGTAAGCCAAAAGCCCAATTTATCTAGAGGCAGGGTGAGATTACAGTCAGTGAATGCATTTTGAAAGGATGATGAGAAGCCAAAAATTAAAATTGTGTTCTACTGATCTCCTTGCTTCTACTATTTAATCCCTATGATCTATTTCTTCAAGATCATTTCCTAAAAACAAGTTAGGAATCAAGAATAAATATGTGGATTTATTTTCATTTATTCCGTCAGCACCAGTGATCTGAGGATTTACTTATTTTTTTCAGTTCTGATTCTCAGCTCTTTCTTCACTGGGAGCCCCACTGAGTGGTGGAGCCTCTCAGGTTCCCCGCCTTAATTCTTAACTGTTCTGTCATGTATCTTTAAAACCTTTTTATCTTTCTGTGTTGCATTTGGGTGGAAGCGTACAATACTATCTTTTAATTTATTAAACTCTCTCCCTCTGTCAAGTCTAGAGAATATCTCATCTGCTGAATTTTTAAAAATTTTGTCAATGAGTACATTTTGATTTTTAAGATTTCTAATGTGTTCTTTTTCATATGCTTTTGTTTTTGTATCATGTCTGTCTTGCTTCGGTTCATAATTTCTTTCTCTGTCAGAAATTTCCTTCTTTATTTCTTTGAGTATCCTAATCATGTTTATTTTCAAATCATTTTCAGATCGCTCTTACATGTTCGTTTTATCTGGAACAATTTACTTTCTGATTTTTTGTTGATTTTGTTGATTTTCTTTCTTCCTGCCATCTTTTTGGAATTTTAATTTATAAGCTCGTTTTCATGCTTATTTATTCTCTTTTCCTCTCTTCTTATTCATCCTTCTCTGTCTTCTGCATTTTTGGGATGACTTGGAGAGCTTCAAGCCCAAAGTAGGTCTCATATTCATGGTTTACAGCATCTCTGCTGTTACTGTCAACATGCTGACCCAGTTACTAAGCTAGGAGGTGCAGAGTCAGTTCCTGACTGCAAAGTGTGTCTGCTCTCTCTAGCTTCCCTATTGACTTTGCATAAGCCTTCACCATAAGCAAGAATTAATTTGAGCTTTTTAAACCTCATTTCAAAGGTGGTGGGTGTTTCCACTTCAGCGTCCCCAATTGCAGCTTTAAGCAATTAGCTAGGCTGTAGTACTCCATCTCATGTGGGACACTTCTAGAAGCAAGAGTGATTTATCTATTATTTTATTTTAGTGTTTATCTTTGAATTTTAATGTGTGTGTATATCTTTTTTGTAAGCAAGTCTACAGTTATCTTGTATTTTTCTGTCTTTCTCCAAAATAAAGCAATGACTTTACTACACTTTAGCTATCCATCAACAGTGTTCCCATTTCTGGCCACAACTATATTTATTTATTTTAAAGCATATTAATAATGTATTTTATATTCCTTTTAAAAATATACTTTATCTATGTTAGGAACATGGCAGTGATAGATGACAGTGTTAAAACCTATGTTTTATTAATATCACCATCCTAATGGTTCTCTAATCTCTGTAATTGTAATGCTGTGACAGAGTTAAAGAGTATAAAGAGATTGTCGCCTTTCTACTAGTCTGGCTTATAGACTGTCATAAGATTTTAATATCTCAAGTCAAATGGAATGGGCTGTAAAAGAAAAAAGATTTATTTTAAAAACAGTGTTAATACTATAGCATTACTAAAAGAAATATTCAAAAGAAAAATATTCACATTATACATTGTTGCCATATCTCAAAATATTTCAAGACTTTCTTGGAATTTCAAAGCCTTCATCAGAGTTTCCGGAGACAAATCTCTGTCCTCTAAGATGGATTTGACTTTTAACAGTGACCAAAAGTCACTCAGGAACAAGTTGCTGGATTCATCTATTATTTAAGCTGGGTAATGCATTATAGATCATAAGCAAACAGTTTAGAACAAAAATTATAGAGCAGTGAGTTTCTTTTTGTGGCTTTTAAATTGGGTCTACAAAGAGTTCCAAAAGAAGTACTTTAAAATGTTTTAACTGTTATTCCAGCTTTCTGAAGCAGTTACAATGATGCAAATGCTCATTTAAATAGTAGATCCTGGTATATTAGTGGGAAAAAAAAACCATAACATTACCGAATTGTTGTATCTTAAGAAATGGAAAGAGACCCACAAGTCGGGATACTTGGGCTCAAATCTCTAGATCTCCCATGAAACAACTCTGGTTCTTGAACAAACAGCTTCACCTGCCTGGCCTCAGTGTCTTCTGCTGTCAAATGGTGGTTGGTGGTAGACAATCAGGATATGGGTTGGGAAAATAAATCTAAAATTTTCTCTAGTGATATAATTGTGACATTTATGTTCTTTTATCTATTTCAAGACAGTTTCTGTCATTCTTTAACCTTTACTCTTCTACACTGAAAAGAATAGGATTTTATAGCTATTATAACATTTTATAGTTTTATAGTTTTAGATTCAATTTCATTTTCCCAAACCTTGAATTATTTGTAGTTATCTGTGCTCTTTATAATTTCTTCAATTCATTTTAAAGTCCAACAAACCAAACTGGATGCTAAGAACCTAACTGACAAGGTAGCAGAAATTTACCTCTAGGCTTTTGTTTGTCATTTAAAAATATTTTCTGGAGTCTTGACTTGCTCACAACAGTATTTTGCTGAATCATTCAGCATGTGGAAAACTGGGACACCCTTTCTTCTCTCTTCCTCTATCCACTCCCAGGCTTTTAAAGCCAACATTTAGAGCCATATCATTACAGGTATCTTGAAATGTAGTATAGTTTCTTTGATTGATGTTCTAGAAACATTTTTCTCTAAAATAAACAGTAAAACGTTATATATCACAACAGGAAGAAAAACCAAAATGTAACTATAAATATTGCTTGGTTTTTTGTGGTTTTTTTTTGCTTTTTTTCAACCATTCCAATAGTAAGAGTAACAATACCTTTAGAGATAGATTCAATGTTGGAATTAATAGGATGCAGTGAATGTCTATATCTAGTGAGCATAATAGAATATGGAATAAATAATTATAAATCAGTGTAGGAAACATAAGTTAGTGAAAAGTCAGTAATAAGGATGATTAAATTTTAGATTTTAGGAAAGTTGATGAAAGTGTTGTCTTAGAATTCTAATGAAAAAAGTATTGTCTTTGATTACTGTATGTGGGATTTTATTTAGTGTCTAGGGAATAGTATTAATGATCAATACAAACGTTTATTTTGTGATTTTTTGATGGTTCAATTTTTATGGTATTTTAATAATCTCTTGTGAGAAAAATAGGCAAAATGAGGGTCTGGGACTTCAGTGACCTTAGTTTTCCTTTATTGATGTGGCCCCCTTCATTCCTGAGATTATAGCTCCTCAAGTTTCCTGCTGCTGGCTGCTGCAACAGACCACCAAAACCGACAGAAGCTATTCTGGGACTACAGCTGTTCCTGTAACTTATGAAACAAACAGGAGTAGAGAAGATCATGATTTTTCTGTATTTTTGAAGGAATTAAAGTCAAACTTCTCAGATTTCCTTCTAGCAGGTAAAAACAAGGGAACCAGTTTTTGTTAAGATTTATAAACTGTAGAATTTCTTATCAATGCAGAATTCTAATTTTGACCAGTTGACCCCTAAGCTTTTGAAAAATTTTTTACACATTGCCTGGATTCCATCATTTTTAAATATTCTGATGTTATATCTGGAACCCTATCTGTACATTTTTTCTGTTTCGATTATAACTAATTCTAGCCTTATTTGGGAGAAATTGAAGAAACGGCTTTTAAGTAACTTTTGCTGTTTATTTGGTGTTTGTCTTGTGCTCAGGCAGAAAAAATGGACTTCTGCTTCGTTCCCATGATAAAGCAACCTGATTATTTTATTATTATCATCATTATTTTTGCTTTCTCTCTTCCTGGAACCACTCCCTCAATCCCACTCCACACATTTCACTCCAAACCTCACTGCCATCATGGTACCTACCATGTAAAGAACAGTTGTGATTAAAATTTCCCAACATCATCTGAATTCTTTTTTGCACTAAATGACAGATATAGCTCACCAAACGCCACCTATAATACAATCAGTGGAAGAGGAAACAATTTTTACTCCATCAATAGATTCTTCATTATGATGAATGATGATCTATTTGATCTGTATCAACATATTTCTGGGCTTATTACTGATGAAAAGGAATCATCCTAACAGTACTGATACTAGTGTTGGTATAATGACTAACTTTGTTTCCATCTCTTTGGGCTATGGAACACCCAGATATTTGGTGAAACATCATTCTGGGTGTTTCTGTGAGGGTATTTTCAAATGGGATTGACATTTGAACTGGTTGACGGAGTAAAACAGATTGCCTACCCTAATGTTAGTGGACCTTATCCAAGCAGTCAAAGGCCTGAAAAAGGCAGATTCTCCGGGAGTAAGAGGGAACTCCTTTTGCCTGACAGTCTTTGAATTTGGTCATCAGGTTCTTTTTTTTTTTTTCTGCCTTGGACTCAAACAGAAACATTGGCTCTTCCTGGGTCTCAAGTCTGCAGGCGCTAAGACTGGAATCACATCATCTGCTCGTTGGGTCTCCAGCTCATCAACTCACCCTGCAGAATTTGGGACTTGCCCACAATTATGGAGGGCGGCTAATTCCTTATATTAAATCTTTTTGGTTTTGTTTTTCTGGAGACTCCTTGACTAATATAAGTGACTTAGTTTCAGATATACATTTCTGGCAAACAAGCATGACTTTTATTTCTAACACCATAGCATTCCCCTGCAGGCTCACGCATGTTCATATACAAACCTCAAGTATGTATATAAGTTTGATGCTTAGAGTCAAGAATGAATAACTCTGTGGTCCATTAGTTTTGCTTAAAAAACTTTTATGAGGCCAAGCGCAGTGGCTCACGCCTGTAATTCCAGCATTTTGGGAGGCCAAGGCAGATGGATCACCAGAGGTCAGGAGTTCAAGACCAGCCTAGCCAATATGGTGAAACCCCATCTCTATTAAAAATACAACAACAACAACAACAACAGCAACAACAACAAAATTAGCCAGGCGTGATGGCAGGCACCTGCAATCCCAGCAACTCAGGAGGCTGAAGCAGGAGAATCGCTTGAACCTGGGAGACAGATGTTCCAGTGAGCCAAGATTGCATCACTGTACTCCACCCTGGGCAACAGAGCAAGACTACGACTCAAAAATAAATAAATAATAAATAAATAAAACAGAAACAAAGAACAAAAAATAAACTTTTATGAGTTATCATCCATATTGGTAATTTGAATAATCTACACTACTACTCGATAACATCCAAGAGAAAGCTGAAATGGGATAATGTGCGAAAAATGCTTTGGTATCGTTTATTCTCATAAATATTACCTATAGTGCTTATATCTTAGGTGGCATGATTTGAAATGGAAACAAAGATACTCTTGGAGGTTTCCATCAATACTTTTAAAATGTAGCTACTCATTTGTAATGCATTGGTCATATTGATAGAGAATATTTAGAGTATGTCAAAGTGCTACCCAGTTTATTTGCCACCCCTGTTTTCTTCCACAGGGGTGAGGGACAAATATCTCTGACTAAAAACAGAGAAAACAATAATCATATTTGACACCTGCACAGTTCCCCTTACCCCATACGACTAGGAGAATATATGAGTGTTTAACTGAGGTAAAACAGAAGTGGAAATAGGTTTAGAAATGTGCATCACCACTATTACACAATAGCTCTAATTGCTTATAGAATTTGATGTGTTTCTTATTGCAAGAGGTCTGAGGGCATTGTTTGTTTTGCCTGTTCCTTATGGGTGAGGAAATAGTGAGAAAGGAGTTGAAAAAGTTTGGCTTCTCAGAGCTCACCGTGAAGAATGTGAGGTCATTTCTTACCTGAAGGGTTGGTTTATCTCCACATCCATGAAACGTCATTTTCTCTGCAGACACTGCCAATTTAAATGTATTTTGTGTGTGATGTAGACAGATGTCTGCTGGGAGCTGGACTGAGGCCATTAACACTTCACGAGAGAGGTGGTTCTAGTACCTAAGTGGTAGTTAGCAGCTCTGACTTGTGGTGCTAGTTTTACCAGTGACTGGGCCTTTAGGATTTGACTAGTATTTAGTACAGAAGTTTATTTCTTGGAAACTTTTTCTATCGTGAGCAAGAAAGAAAAACTAAGAAGTGTTCCTCAGTTGACTTTCTTAAAGGTAGCTAAATAAATTATTAGTTGAGAATAAAGCTACCTCTCTCCCAGGAGAGGGACAATAAACTATATTGTCCATTATTAAAGCATTCCCTCTATTCTGTGGTCCATAAATTTTTTGGTGGAATTAGTCTTGTGAAGTATTTCTAAGTGGCTAAATTCTCGTTTTTCACCACTGCTTAAGGCATACAAATATTTAAAATCTTAATGAACTGCACATTTTATATATTGTTACCAACTGCAAAGATTTATCATTTCTGTGAAATTTAATTGAAAAAACTTGTTTCTCTTTTTCTTTCTTTTTTCTTTTTTTTTTTTAAGACAGGGTCTCACTCTATTGCCAAGGCTGGAGTACAGTGGCACGATCACGGCTCACTGCAACCTGTGCCTCCTGGGCTAAAGCGATCCTCCCACCTCAGCCTCCTAAGTAGCTGGGACTACAGGTGCAGGCCACCATACCCGGCTAATTTTTGTATTTATTGTAGGGATGAGGTTTCACCATGTTGTCTAGGCTGGTCTCAAACTCCTGGGCTCAAGTGATCTGCCCATCTCAGCCTCCCAAAGTGCTGGGATTAAGGCGTGAGCCACCACGCCCAGCCAAAAAAGTCTATTTCTTTCACATAAGAACTCTGGCTCTTTCTTTCTTTCCAGGGCTTTCAGGCAAGGCTCATTCCTGCAAGCCGTCTTCCAGTTTTCCTGCATATGTGAGTCGTAGAGGAAAATCTGCTCAGCTAAGCTCCTAGGCTAATAAGCATCTCTTTTCTTCTAATTCTTGTGGGCTTTTGTCTATGGCTGTTGTCAGGACTACTTTACTTTCTGTTTTCTGGAAACATAGGCCAAACTGTGGCAGCTGAATGACCAAAGCTATTAGCCAGACTCATTCTATCCGAGCCATCTTTTTCTGGGGTTGTGGGGAGGGTGGGAGGGCATCTGATCTCCATTTCCTGTTTTCCGTGACCTATCTAGACCCATTTCTAATAGATCCTCCAACTTCCATTCTGCTCATTCTGTCTTCTAAGCATCATTTCTCTGAACATTTAACCTGGTACCCATATATCACTACCCCAGTTTAATTTACAACAGTGGTGGTTAACAAATCAATAGCACCTACTTGTCCTGAGATCATTAGTGAGCAGTACCAGTGGACTGGTTTCTAAGATATTCCACAATATAAAAACAAGGCACAAGGTTTGCTGGTGAGATGTTCTCTGGACTAGGAGTAACGTCAGATTTCATTTTGGAATAAGAGTTTCGGATTCCAAGCATGGTACAAAATAGAATATTTAATGTTAGGACATTAATCCAAAGTACCAACTAAATTCAAACGTCTAAAAGTATTAACAAGTAGGAACTGATAAGGTTGACGTGGATAGGCTCTTGAGACTAAAGAAGTTATGGGATTTTTAAAAATTAAAAAATGGAAATAAAAACACTTTGAAATAAACGCCAGGGTTTATACCATCAGTGCAAAAACTAGGTAGCCATATAAATAAAACAAATGCCAGCTAAATGTTCAGCAAGACCAAAAGAAGCTTCCATTCCCCGCCCACTTAAATAAAAACACTAACCACACCCACACAGGCTAGTTAGGTATGACTCCTCTGAGAAAGAGCTTCTTGCGTTTTCTCAGGGAGGAGTCAAGCCCCCAAACCTCATATTTTGTTTTCCTATGTCCTCTCCTACTATTTTAATAAGCTTTCAAAAATAACACATTGTCATTTCATTCATATAAGTCATATAAAACCAGAGATGTTAGCTTACTGAGGACAGAAAATTTGTGTATTTAATATTTTTAAGCTATAAGTCCTATATGCTAGATTAATGTTTACTTTTAATCATTTAAAAATATTTTTTAAACTCCATCCAAATATATCAGGTTGATGAAAAAATAATTGTGTTTTTTGCCATTAAAAGTAAAGACAAAGACCGCAATTACTTTCACACCAATCTAATACATTTGTCAGACTGCTAAGGGAAGGACAGCTTGCATTACAGACTATTTTTATACCATAAAGACAAAATATAAGCAGTGCTTCACACCTGAATGTGGGAAGTTAAAGTTTTTTTATTTCATCATTTTGCTTTTCTGTATTTTCAAAATTTCTACTATAGCATATATATTTTCTATTAGACATAAAATAAAATAGTGTTTACTTTTCAAACGTGTTAATTTTCACCAATAAAGATAAAACACCGAAGCCAGTGTTTTGACTCCATTAACACGGACTTCTTTTTAAAAATGTGCAATAGGTGAGCTCTTATTTTGACATTCATTCAAGCCCTTCCCGATTAGCCCATAGTTCATTTCACTTCAAACATTTCTTCTTTGTGTTTGCAGTTGAAATATTCTCTTAACAATTCAGAAGGGTGCAGAAAATGCTATGCTTCATCAGGCAAAATGGAGTGAAAAAGGGAGTGTGCTCAAAGCTGGCAGTGAAGAATGTCATTGTCTGACAGACTACACAGCAATTTGAGACTCAGCAGTTTCCTTTCCATTTAAGACAGCTGCATTGTAAACGAGAAGCTAAATCATGAAGAGATGCAAAATTTTTCTAGGAAATTAAATGTATATTAGAGATACTGACCAAGACTCGTTTTTGTTGGTCTAAAGGACTCTACTGTGAGATGGTCTGTTATTCAAAAGGTTCCACTTTCTAGTTGTTTTTCTTTGGGTACTACTGCCTCTACAGACTACACCCCTGCCAGGCAGATTGTTTATGGTGCTGGTCTTCAGGAATGTGGTGCCTGGGCCTGCTTGTCAGTACCGATTCTTACTGCGCTCTATTTTTCTTCAGGACTGACAGAATACTTCAGCAGCAGACTAGCCAAGAGCTGGTGTAGGACCATAAAGCTCAGGACACTAACTCCTTTTTCCACTGGGACGGCCTTCTCAGGAGGTTAATCTGATCACCCTTAGTTCCAGTTCTTTTCTGTCATTGGGTCAGCCCTGTGTTCAGATTCTGATAAGTCCCAAGTGCAACACCCACAAAAAGACCAGGAGCTGCCAGGCATTCTAAATGTGCAGGTCTTTGAACCTTGTGGAGCATTTTCATATGCAAATTATGTCTTATTTGATCTTCGCAAAACTTTCCCCGTGAGACAAATATGATCCCCAGGTCACAGAGACAGCCAGATGAAGGACTGAACCCACATCTTCAGACTCCATTTTAGTGAAAACAGAGTTCTTTTGTGTTTTGTTTTACTTGTTAGTTTTCCAGGGTGTCGTTAGTAAGTCACATTCCTCAAAGGCCAAAACAAACAAACAAACAAAAAGCAAACTTACACAGAAAACAAATTCAGGAAGGAAAAGAGGAAAAAGTCCTTTCTGATAAATGGCAAATTTAAAGTGCCGATAATATGAAGATACATTTAAATTGAAAATACATTTGCCATAGCTTCCAGAAGCAATCTTGGAAAGCTTTCCTGTACCCTGAAAACACTTTGCATGACCAATCTCCTCCAT